TTCATAAGAAACATCTGTCTGTAGTTTTTCTTTCTTATAAAGTCACCATCTACCTTTGAGATTAAAAAAAGAGTAAGGAAGGTTCCCTCTAACTACTAATCATCCTAAGGAATCTACAAGAAAGCTACTATAGGTAATGTATGAATTCAGTTAAGTTGCAGGCTATAATACAACCACCCCAAAATCAGGTGTGTTTCTACATACCTACAATAAACAATCTGAAAGAAAAATAAAGCAATTCTATGTATAACAGAATCTTTGTTAGCCTATAGTGGATTACACTGATTGGTTTTTTAATGCTGAACCACTCTCGCATACCTGGTATGTATCCCACTTGGTCATGGTTCTTTTTATACATGGCTGGTTTCTATTTGCTAATATTTTGTTAAGGAATTTTGCTAGCAAATTTATGGGAGATATAGGTCTATAGATTTACTATTGTTTCCTGTACTGTCATTGTATGGTTTTGGTATCAGGATAACAAAAAAACCTGTTAGGAAGTGTTCCATGCTTTCTATTTTTCTGGAGGACATTGTGTAAGATCATTATTAATTCCTCCTTAAATGTTTACATGTTTGGTAGTCTTCTATGGTGAAAACATCCGTAAGAGATTTTATCTCTTTATTTTAAATTAAATTCAAATTATCTATGTCATCTATGAAAATCCACAGAACCTTCAAATTATCCATGTCATCTTGAGTTTTGGTAGCTTGGAATTTCTAAAGAGTTGATCCATCTCTTCTCAACCATCAAATTTAAGAGCATAACATTTAAATTATCCTCCTGTTAATGAATGCCAAAGTGATATCCCCCATTTCTTTCCTGATATTGGTGGTTTGTTGTGTGTGTGTGTATTGAAGATTGCTAGGTTAATAAATTTTACTGATTTTTTTCCCTAAGAACTGGCTTTGTGTTTCAGTAGGTTTCTCTATTGTTTTCCTATTTTCAACTCATTGATACCTGCTTTATTTTCTTCCTCCTATTTGCTGTGGATTTACTTTGCCCTTTTGCAGTCTCTAAAGGTAGAAAATTAATTATGGATTTGAGACCTTTCATCTTATCCTAATACCACTGCTTTGGCTGCTTCCCACATACATTGGTATACTGTTTAATTCAATTCTATGTATTTTTAAAATTTCCTTTCAGCCTTCTTTGATTCACGCTTTACTTACATGTGTCTTAATTCCAAAGGGTTTGGATATTTTTCTACCGACTTTCTATTACTGATTCACAGTTTGATTTCCTTGTGCTCAGAGAACATAGCACGGTTTCAGTTCTGTTAAATTTACTAAGGTTTGTTTATGGCCCATGACATGTTGTATCTTACTGAATGTTCCATAGGCATTTGAGAAGAATGCATACCTTGTTTTTAGGTAGTGTTCTACAAATGTTCATTCAATTCTGCTGGTTGATGGTGCTGTTCATTTCTTCTATATCTGTTAATTTATATCTGCTATCTAGAAGTTCTACCAATTGCTGAGAGTAAGGTGCTGAATTCCCCAAATATAACTGAAAATTTGTTTATTTCTCCTTTCAGCTCAATCAGTTTTGATTTGTGTACTATGAGGTTCTTTCTGTTGTTTGGTGGGGGTCACATTTTGGATCAGTCTTTTTCGTTGGAATACCACTTTTTCTCTAATAATTTCCTTTGCTCTCAAGACTACTTTATCTGATATTAATGGAGTCAGTCTTGTTTTTGTTTTCATTAATGTTTGCATAGTGTATCTTTTTCTGTCACCCATCAACCTCACTATGTTGCATTTGAAGTGAATTTCTTTGTAGATAACATATTTCTGCCTCATGTTTTTTGTTTTATCCAGGCTGCCAGTCTATACCTGAATTGGTGTGTTTAGATCATTTACATTTACAGTAGATATTACTATGTCAAGGTTTAAGTCTGCTGTTTTATTTTTCTGTTGTTTTCTCAGTTTCTCATTCATCTGTTCCTAATTTATTTTCTTACTGATTACTTGAACATCTTTTTAAAGATTCCACCTTCATTTACTTACAGTATTTCTAAGTGTACCACCTTGTATAGTTTTTTAGTGGTTCTTTAGGTATTCGAGTCCATTTCTAGGTAAAATGCACATATATAATTTATTACAATCTTCCTAGATTAACATTTTACCACTGACTTCAATGGAAATGTAACACTTTAATTTCAATTAAATCCCTGTATTCTATCTTGTAAATATATCATTTCCTCCACATGTAGAGCATCAAATCATATGATATTCTAAATTTTGCTTCAATAATCAAATATGATTTCAGAAACTCCTGAGAAGGAAACTCCATTATTATATTTATCCTTATTTTTTGCTACTTCCAATGTTCTTTCTTTTTGAAGTTCCAAGCTTTCTTATGTTATTTAGTTTCTATTTAAAGAAACTCCTCTAGGCGTTTTTAAAAGATAAGTTTACTAACAACATTTTCTTTGTTTTCCTTTGTATGGTATCTTCAGTTGTCCTTCTTTCATGAATATATTTTCACAAGCTAAACAAGTTTTGTTTGAAAGTTCTTTTCTTTCAGTACTTGGAAAAAAATGTATTATTTCCTTCTAGCCTTCATGGTTTCAGATGACAAATACACTATCATTTCCAAAGGAAATGAGTTGTTTCTCTCTACTTTCAAAATTTTTTCTCGTTTTCAGAAATTTAATCACGATATGCCATTAGTATGGATCTCTTTGGATTCATCTCACTTAAGAGTTCACTCAGATTCTTCAATGAGTATTCTTATGTCTTTTGACAAATTTGGGAAGTTTTCAATCATTATTCCTTTAAATACTTCAAGTGCCATCATCTCTTCCCTTTTTGTTACCCTGATGATACTGATGATTAGTTTTATTTTTTTTTAAAGATTTCATTTATTTATTTGAGACAGAAACAGAGAGAACATGAGCAGGGGGAGAGGGGCAGAGGGAGAGGAAGGGCGAGAAGCAGACTCCCCATTGAGCAGGAAGCCCAATGCAGGGCTCAATCCCAGGACCCTGGGATCATGACTTGAGCCAAAGGCAGACGCTTAACCAACTAAGCCACCCAGGAGCCCCAATACAGATGTTAGTTCTTTAGTTATTCCAAATACAGAGAGAATCCAGCCTCTTCTCATTACCTCCATGTCTCCCCAATTTTGACTAAATGACCATAATTGCCCTTCAGGAAAACTACTAGCGAACTCTCTAAGTACTTATGTTCTTTCCAGTATTTTCTCTATAGAGGTGAGAAAGATCTTATAAACATGAATCAGACGTTGCTTGTTTACCAAATTACACTAGTAAGAATTAAAATAAAATCTTTAGTAAGATTTATGATATTCATCTTTTGGACCATAGCTGCCTGACATCATTTCCTGCCCCCACTTACCATCAATCATTCCCCTTTGGCCACTGTGACTTTTTTTTTGCTATTTCCCAAGAAGCACCAAGCACATTCCTACTCATTGGCTTAGCAGTTGCTATTACCCCCGCTGAGAAGAGGCAGGACCCTCACAGCTCACACAATCATTTCATTCAAATTCTGCTCTAATGGTGATCTCTTTAAGGTTTCCCAACTATTCTTCTTGTAGCACCATTTAACTCTGCTCTCATTGCTAGGATAATTTTTACCACTACAGAGCTTTAATACACGTAAGTATCTGATTTTAGTGCTACCTTTTTAATTTATCTTTGACATATAACCGTATAAATTTACAGTGTACAACCTGTTAATTTGATACACTTATATGCCATGTAATTGCCATTGTACCAATAATTAGCACCGCTATTATGTTACATAGTTACCATTTCTTATTAGTGATTGGAATCATCAAGTTCCAGTGCCTCAGCAAGCTTGATTATTCTAATACAATACTGTCTATATTCACTATATGCTATATTAGATCTCTAGGGCTTATGTACTACTCATTACACTTTTTACCCTTAAACATCTCTCTTTTCCCACATCCCCTACCCCCTGGTGACCACATTACTCGTGTTTATAACAAGTTTGGCTTTTCTAGATTCCAGATACAAGTGACACCACATGGTATTTGCCTTTCTCTGTCAGACTTATTTCACTTAGCATAATGCACTCAAGGTTCATCCATTTCGCAAGTGGCAGAATGTCCTCCTCTCTCATGGCTGAATAATAGTCTATTATTTACACATATCTATTTTAATTATTTATCCACTGACGGGCAGTTAGGTTGTTTCCATATCTGGTTATTGTGAATCATGCTGTGATAAACATCAGCGTGCATATTCTCTCTTTGATAACCTGTTTTCATTTCCTTTGGGTGTCTTCCCAAGTGGAACTGCTGGATCATAGGGTAATTCTATATTTTACTTTTTGAGGAATCTCTATACTGTTTTCCATAGTAGGTGAACCAATTTACATCACTGCCAACAGTGCACAAGGGCTCCTTTTTCTCCACATCCTTGCCAACACTTGTTATCTCTTGCCTTCTTGGTGCTAGCCATTCTAAATGGTGTGATGTATGGTTTTGATTTGCATTTCCCTGATGTTTAGTAATGTTGACCATGTTTTCATATATTTGTTGGTCACTACTGCTACTTGTATAAACTCATCGACACTTATTTCTTTCACTACTATAGCATTTAGATAATAGCAACTACTCAAAAATTATTTGAGTAAAAAAATGAGCATATGAAAGAATGCCTGATGATGGCAAGAATGCAGAGCAATGGAGGTAAGGTAGGCAACTGAAAACTGCTTTGAGAAACAAAGGAATGAAGAAAAACAACAGTAAAGATGAGGCAGGCAAAGACTGGTCTGTTGACAGATTAAGAATGGTAAAAACAAAGTGAATCAAAAAGAACATTTCTTGTAAGAGTGGTATCTGGAGATTTGGTTCAAAAACCAGTATTCCCAGTCACTTCCAAGGATTAAGACTTCTAAAGAGATATTCTTGAAAAAAACATCTTAAAGTTGTCAACCTCTGGATTAATCATGGGAAAATAATAAATCCCCTGACGTTCATCTGTGCAGTACCCATTAACTCACCTGGGAAGCTCTGGCTTGGGAATTCTTCCTCCAATATCCATGGCTCCTCTCCTTGCTCTAGCCTGAAGATCACCTCTGGTTTGGTAACACAATACCCTGTCAAAGCAAAACAATTTAGGATTCAAACCAGAAGGCCTAGCCTGCAGGGTCTCTGAAAGAGAAGCAAGCTTCCAGAGCTATTTGATGAAGAGCTATTGAACATTTCATTGGAGAAGTAAACACAAATATCTTCCTGGTGCCCAAAAGAGATCAACACTGATTCCTGGTTCCAATATAAAAAATCATTAAACTCTACAGTGTCTACATGCTTCATAACTAAAAGAATTAAAACATGCTGTTTAGAATTACAAAAAAACAGACCTTACCCAGTGAGACAAGGTTACTGTAGTTCTCCAGCATCACATCTCTATACAAGGACCTCTGGGCTGGGTCCAGGCGCTGCCACTCTTCCTGGGTGAAGCCCACAGTCACATCCTTAAATGATACTGATCCCTGGAATTTCTGTTCAATCTGCAATGTTCAGAATTGGGTGACATGGAAAAAGCTGTATGGGAACCAATCCTTACCATGATTACCAAAATAGTTTGCAAAACATTTGTTTGGTTTTACACTTTGAGGGAAGATGAGAAATCCTAACAGAAATATTATGCCAGGGGCACCTGGGTGGCTCAGTCATTAAGCGTCTGGCTTCAGCTCAGGTCATGATCCCAGGGTCCTGGGATCGAGCCCCACATCGGGCTCCCTGCTCTGCGGGAAGCCTGCTTCTCCCTCTCCCACTCCCCCTGCTTGTGGTCTCTCTCTCACTGTCTCTCTCCCTGTCAAATAAATAAAATCCTAAAAAAAAAAAAAAGAAATATTATGCCATTGCCTTAAGGTTTATTCATGTAAAAAATTATCAAATCCCACAATGTATCTGGAACCATTCTAGTTCTTAGAAATGCTAAGATTAATAAAATTATTCTTGTAGTCAAGTAGCACACAATTTGGTAAAAATATGAGGTAGTATGTTATAATTGCTAAGGTGAAAGTACACAGCAGACAGACTTTAAAATAAATGAGGAACAAAATTATTTCTATTTTGAGCTTCAATGAAGAACAGCTGATTGAGAAATAGTAATACTGTGCTCTTCATGAACACGGTGCCATGGTACAAGCAAAAGCAGGGCACCTCCAACACCATCTGGGAAATGAACAGAGGGCAAACAGTACAGAAAACACTGAGAATACAGCCTGGAGCTGTGATGACAGAAAGGGCCATGAAGAAAGAAAGTCATGGATTAGAGAGTAATTTTAGACCAAATCTCCAAAGTATGTGATCACTTTCAACCTTAAAGAATATTTTTGAGTACTAATGAAGTTTATATTTATGAATTATAGAAATAAACTATCAATATATTTTGTGACAAATTTTAATTTTTTTCCTCAATTTTAAAAAGTAAAGAGACAGCTTAATATTTTATTTCACTGGAATACATATTCTAGGTTCTAAGTCTTCAATTTAGAGACAACTAGAACGTGTAGAAAATGAGAAGGGAAGATTTTGGAACTGTTACACTTGAAATACCTGTAGAACATATAGAAGATACCAAAGGGATTATTTGGGATATCATCTAGAGTGCTTGCCTCTACTTTAGGGCTCACTGTTTCAAAGAAAGGGGAGCCAAAGAGATCTGAGTGTATATTAAAATTATGTGACCAGGTTTTTATTTATAGAAGCAACTCTGTCAAAAAAGTAAAGGGAAAGCTAATGGACAAAAACCACGATTTACATAAACTACTATAGGAAAAACTGTAAAGCAAAGAGGGAATTGATAAAAGGAAAGAGAGTGATAGAACACAGTCACCAATTATTGGCAGAAAGTTTCCTCAGGGTATATGTACAAACATCTGTATAAACACAAGTATCACAAAATAAGCAAGGAAAAAATAGATACTGTATTTTAATAAGATATATCTTAAATGTGAAACATAATACTGTAGGTCTAGAATGAAAATAAGGATTTGAGAAACATTAATAATTTGGTAGTGTCTGACGTCACCAACAATGAATCAGAAGGCTCTCAGAGAAGTAAGAGACTGAAAATAATCAAGAATGTAAGGTGAGGAAATACCATGTTTTAACTGAATAACAGAGAAAGAACAGGCTATGAAGGAACTGCCTGAAGGTGGAAATAAAAATAATAATAAATAGTTTTAAAAATTGAGAGATGATGATAAGATCACCTGAGTATATACACAAAAGCATGATAAAACAAACAAACAAAAAACTCTTGGCAAACTAGAAAGGAATTTCCTCAGTGTGATAATGGATTTTAACATATACCTATGGCAAATATTACACTTATTGGTGAAATATAGAATGTGTTCGACTTAGGGGCGCCTGGGTGGCTCAGCTGGTTAAGTGTCTGACTCTTGATTTTGACTCATGTCATGATCTCAGGGTCATGGGATCAAGGCCCGCATCAGGCTCCACACTGAACCGGGAGTCGGCTGGAGATTCTCTTTCTCCCTTTCCCTCTGCCCCTCCCCTGCTCGCACATGTGCACTCTCTCAAAAAAAAAAAAAAAAAAAAAAAATGAAGGAAGGAAACATGGAGAAGAATTCTGACCTTCATGTATGAAAAAAAATTAATCTTATTTTGACTCCTGGGTTTAGCTTAATGATATCCTTGAGACTTCTTCAGATAAACAATTTGTCATTGTCAACTCTGTGATTTTTGTAATTTTTGTTGAAGTATAAATATATACAAAAACAACACACAAGTATACTTTGGCAAAGAAATGGCTCAATGTATTTTCACAGTGAACACACCCATAAAACCAGCATTCAGATCAAGAAATAAAACATTACCTGAAATTGAGAAGCTCCTTCATGCCACTACCTAGTATCTACCACCGCCCCCATCCTAACTCACATGATAACCACAATGACATACACACTCGGATATCTAAAATGAAAAAGTCAGAAAATACCAAATAAAGATAGTGGCCAAAATATGAAGCAACTGGAACATTCATACCTTGCCAGTGGGAGTGTAAGTAAGTATATATACTTTGGGAAAATAACAGGGAATTTCTAGGGCACCTGGGTGGCTCAGTCGGTTAAGTGTCTGCCTTCAGCTCAGGTCATGATCTCAGGGTCCTGGGACTGAGTCCTGCATCGGGCTCTCTGCTCAGTGGGGAGTCTGCTTCTCCCTCTGTCTTCTCCCCTCTGCTCTTGCTCATGCTCTGTCTCTCTCTCTCTCAAGTAAATAAAATCTTAAAAAAATAATAATAATAGGGAATTTCTACTAAAGCTGTATGTATTAATTCCTCTCCTAGTTATATATCCAACATGAACGAGTGTTTGTCAACCAAAGGCCCTATAGGAAATGTTCATAGCAGTTTTATTAGCCAAAACCTGGAGACAGTCCAAAAGCCCATCAACAGAATGGAAAAATAAAAGTGTAGTACAGTTACATAATGGAATACATAACAGCAATAAAAAGAAAAACTGGGGCGCCTGGGTGGCTCAGTCGTTAAGTGTCTGCCTTCAGCTCAGGTCATGATCCCGGGGTCCTGGGATCGAGCCCCGCATCGGGCTCCCTGCTCAGTGGGGAGCCTGCTTCTCCCTCTCCTACTCCTCCCTGCTTGTGTTCTGTCTCTTGCTGTGTCTCTCTCTGTCAAATAAATAAATAAAATCTTTAAAAAAAAAAAAAAAAGAAAAACTGATACACTCAGCAAAATAGATGAATCTCACATATACTATACTGAGTGGAAGCCAGACATACAAGCAAAGCTAATCAATGATAATAGATTCAGAGTAATGAACTTGAAGTACCAGAGAACCTTTTGGGATACTGGGTGGTCATTACAAGGGGGCGGGGTGCCTGTGTGTGTGTGAGCATGTGTGCACGCATATACACACACAAATAAAAATTCATCTAGCTTGACACTTAAGTTATATGCAGCTTACCTCAATGAACTGACAAAAAAAAATACTTTTTGGAACTTATCATACACGCTAACTTTTTGGCATAAAATTGATGATATGCTGTTCATAAAATTAACAGACTAAAACAAAAGATTCTGAAATACCAGAGCATAAATCAAGGCATTTGTTTGGAAGTTTATCATTCTGATCATTCTGACTTCTTTTCTAGCTTGGGTGAAAAAGAAATGGACAATCAAAAGATCCTGATGATAAAACACTAGTCAACAAAGATACGTTAACAGAGAAATACAGACTCTATTATAACAGTAATGTCTTCATAATCAAAACTAGAAAGCAGCAATCTATCAAATTAGATAAAAAAGAAAATAAATTTGACCAGCAGTGCAAAAAGTAAAGAAACAAATGTATGACAAAAACTATAATAAAGTAGAACACACAAAATATTAATGATGTTATACTAGGATACACAGTAAACAAAACTGTAAAACAAAAATCCTAAACTGTAAGATGGCATATGAATATGCTGAATTTCTTACTAATGACCGACATAACTGATTTGAAAACAAAACCTGTCACAGGTTATTTGCAAGATCAAGAAAATTTGAAAACAAAATAATGGGCAAATATCAAATACACTGTAAAAAATATATGTGCAAAATAGGGACACCTGGGTGGCTCAGTCACTTAGGCGTCTACCTTGGGCTCAGGTCATGATCTCAGGGTCCTGGAATCCAGCCCCATGGAGGGCTCCCTGCTCAGCGGGGAGTCTGCTTCTCTCCCTCCCTCTGCCTCTCCCCCTGCCCATGCTCTCTCTCTCTCAAATGAATAAATAAAAAATCTTTTAAAAAATATATAAGCAAAATAAAAGGTGGTTTGGCTTAACTCACAGCAGATAAGGTAACACTGACAGCTACAAGAATGAAATGAGCAAAGATGATTCTTCAAGAAGAGAAATAATCCATTTATCTTTTCTGGCACCAAATACCAGAAAAGCTAATCACTTAAAGAAAATACAACTATAAATACAAGGATACTTTAAGACACAGTCACGTGTACCTATGAAAACATAGGAGATACACTCACATCTCCACGAAATGTATTTTGTTTTCCTAAAGAGAATATTGTATGAAATGCCAAAAGAAACAAATGCTTTGGGTCAAAGCATTAAGGAACTACCAAAATAGACTTAGAAAAAGGTAGAAAATCAGTGCAAAGACCAATAACCAGAAATAGTATTTAAAAATATTTAAAAATCGATTGAAGATCTTGAAGATCTACCATGGAAAAAATCCATTTCAGATATTTTCAGGATTAAAACTCTAGCCAACATTAAGTAACAACCCATGTAATTTATTTATTTTTTTATTAAAAGATTTTATTTATTTGAGAGAGCGAGCAAGCGCACACACATGGGGGGAGGGGCAGAGGAAGAAGCAGACTCCCCACTGAGAAGGGAGCCTGATGCGGGACTCAATCCCAGGACCCAGAGATCGTGACCTGAGCTGAAAGCATACATTTAACCGATTGAGCCACTGAGGTGCCCCAACAACCCATGTAATTTAAACATC